GCGGACACAACATCTTTGTTGGTATGTGGTGCTGAGGATCGAACCCGGGCCACCCGCATGCCAGGCGAGTGCGCTACCGCTTGAGCCACATCCCCAGCCCATTTATTTATTTTATATATTTATTTTTTGAGGTGTGTTTGGTGGTGCTCCACCAAAGAACTATATCTCTCACCTTTTTTATTTTTTTTTAAATTTTTGAAACAGGATCTTACTGAGTTTCTCAGGCTGGCCTTGAACTTGAGATCCTCCTGCCTCAGCCTCCTGTGTGGCTGGGATTATAGGCATGTACCTTGATGCCTGGCCTTGTCTGCAATTTTTTTCTTTTTTCAGTTGTAGTTGGACACAATACTTTTTTTTTTCTTATATATTTATTTTTTAGTTGTGGTTGAACAAAATACCTTTTTTTTAAATGTATTTTTATGTGGTGCTGAGGATTGAACTCAAGGCCTTGCACGTAGGCGAGCACTCTACCACTGAGCCACAACCCCAGCCCCATCATTGTCTGCTTTTGTTTTCTGAGTTACCTCCGTAATTCTTTTACCCTTATACCTTTGTTTATTACCTTCAAATTGTAATTGTTGGTTTCATAATTGGGTAATAGGTTTACATAGTTAAAATTCAAGAGGCATAAGAAAAAAGTCTCCCCTGGACTGTGCCTCTCAGTCACTGTTTCCATTTCTAAGATAATCACCCATTTTTCTGGTTTATTGTATATCTTGGAGATAAATCTTCTATGTACATACAAGTGTGCCACACACAGCATGCATGTGCATGCACATTGATTCTTTTCAATAACAGATGAAGTTTTATCTCAACCTTTTATTCCTACTGTTACCAGCATTTGTTAACTGTTATTTTTAGTTTTCTTTTGGTTTATCAGTAGTAAAAGTATGCTAGAGGCTGGGGATGTAGTTTAGTAATAGACTGCTTACATATCTTGCATGAGCCCCTGGGTTCCATCTCCAGCACCGTACACACATAAAAAAAGTATTTTTCATTCCATTAACAATAGTATTTTAAATCCCTTTTATGCAAGATGAGAATATTAGGAATCCTACCTATCTATCTTTTCTCGCCCTCTTCCTCCTCTTACTTCCTGGCAGCTGTAATCTTTTATATTGTCAAGCTTGACATTCATATTCTCCTATATAACCATATTTAAATCTTCTCTTCTTTGTCAAATGCTAATTATAAAAATTAAATGCCAATAAGTAGCCTTGGTATAATTATATATATGAAAATATCATTCATTGCCCAGTAGTGTACATAAATGACATTCTTTACTTATAGTTAGTTATAATCTTGGGTCTCTATAAGAATGTTCCTCATGTCAGAATCAAATAGTTCCTCTTTTCTTACATTCCATCATATGCTTAAAATCGTCACATTTTTAGTTTGATTCATATTTAGATTGTAACTTTCTTAGCTTTTAATTTTTCTTGGAGTTTCTAATTGCCTTTCTTTTTTCTTGTTGACAAAAGAATGATGGGCCTTCAGCATATCCTCAAGTTTATCCAGCCTCTCAATCATGCTACCTGTTGCCTGGAGTTCATTTTTCCCCCTAGAGACATCCCTCCTGGAGGCCTCCATTCTCCTGCTCCAGTCTGGAGTGGTTGCTCTTTAGGCCTGCTGTACAGCTCTCAGCCTGAGACTTCCCTTCGCTGCCCTCCTGGGTTGGATCCACTGTTTCCTGGATCCCATGTCTTCCTCTTTCTTGGTTTTCTCCCTTATTTTGCTGGAGTACATTATCAGGTAATTCCCTTAAGAGTGGGTATGTGGGAAGTGTATACATTCTGAATCCTTGCATGTCTAAAAATGTCTTTAATCTACTCTCAAACTTTATTGATGGTTCTGTTGAATGTAGATTTCTAAATTCAAATTTTTGTTCCATTTTCTCCAGCATCCAGTGTTTCTAGTAAGAAATCTGATGCCAGTTTGATTCCTATTCCTTTGTAGGTAGATGATTTTTTTTTATTTTCTGAAAGCTTTTAAGAATATTCAGTTTATGTTTTGATTATTTGAGATTTCACAAAGATGTGTCTGGTGTGGAACTTTCTGTCATTCATCTTATCAATATTCTAGGATATTTTTTAACCTGGAGATTTGGGTATTTCTTCAGCTCAGGGAATTTTTCTTCTATTATTTCTTCAATAATATCTTCCTCTCCATTTTTTTCTGTTCTCTCTGGGACTTCTGTTCATCAGATGATAAACCTCATAGATTGATCATCTGTTTCTCTTATATTTTCCCATTTTTTTCCTTCTGTTTCTTCCCCTGCTTCTGTCCCTTCTTCTGTCTCTTTGCTTTGCCTTCAGAAATTTCTTTACCTTTGTCTTCCAGCCTTTTTAATGATTTCTTTCAGTAATTTTTTCCCCATTACTAAGGCTGCTTTCTTGTTTTCTGATTTGTTCTTTTCTCATGATATTCTGTTCTTGTTTTAAAAACCTCTTATGTTTTCTCGATTTTATCTTTTCACTGGGGCCAGTTTTTCTGTTTCATTCTCCTAGTTTTCCAAGTAGAGTTGTTTTTTCCAGTTGTTTATTTATATTTAAGAATGAAGGACAGAGTATTAGGAGTTCATTTCCTTTCCCTCTGCCTCTGTTTTAGTGGGTTGGGAGGTTTGACTGGGAGTTCTAAGAACATAGATAGGACACACTGACTGGCAGG